TTTCTCATAACAGACCCCCCCATCCCTACTCAATCTCTCTCGTAACAGAATCCCCCCGCCACGCCTACTCACTCTCTCTTCCGATGTAGAGCCTGAAGCTCGTTGAGATGGTTCCGGAAGCACATCTCTGCCTCGGCTGAGTTGAGCAAATCAAAGGGGATCCGGGTCTCCTCAGTGTTGTCCAGGAAGGATTCGACCTGCTTCCATGAGGTGACTCCATCCTCCTCCACCACCACAAAGTTGCTTTCAAACTCCTCATGCTCACAGATCAGTCTCCTCAGTGTATTCCAGCTCCTGAAGGGAAAGGGGGGGGGGGGGGGGGGGGGGGGGGGGGAGAGTGGTGAGGGGGGAAAGAACATTATTTTGTTAGAACAATGTGCCAAGACATCTTGCATGTATTTCATTTCCTCATTTCTTTTTATCTATTTTTTTTAATCCTTTTCTTTTCTGGGTCTTTTGTTGTGTTTTTAAACAATCTCTTCCAGCCCTGCTCTACTGGCATGAAGACAATGAAGGAAGTAGTGAGTAGAGTGGGTAAGGAAGATGGAAGGAAGATGGAAGGAAGATTAATGAAGAGAGGGAAGGAGTTTCAAAACCTATGATCACTTAACCTTTCTGGAGCACTTCCCAGCAAAAGCAGGATGGTCAAGAGAGAAAGGCTTACTTTATTCACTCTAATCTCCCTGTTGAGACCAAACATCACCCACACTACAAAGAAAGTATTCACTGTAATCCAAAACACAACAAACAACACTGTCATTTGCTCACCTTTCTGGTATAGACTCTAGCGAGGGCAGGAAGGTCTTCAACAACACGGGCAACTTCTCCAGGTACCTCTGCTCCTTGGAGCGAATCTGCTCGTCCCGGAGCCGTTTAGTGTGGGCCCGGAACTCTTTCCGAGCCTGCTCGGTGCCGAACATCTCCACATAGTGACCAAAGTCCGACTCCACCTCCAACTTCTTCTTCCAGGTGTTCCAGACCGCCTTGGGGTCGCGCACTGTCGAGCGCAAGAGGCTGAGATACGCGTCTTTGGCCACAGCCAGGAACTCATGGCGTTGTTTGCGCGCGTCCAGGAAGGGAAGGAGTTTGGTTCGAGCCTTCGTCTTGTCCATGAGGTGGGCCAGCAGCAGGAAGGCAGCCTCAATGTTGATGTTCTCATGGGCCGAGGTCTCCACCAGAGGCACGTTGCCCTTGAACTCTTTCCTGTTGGTCAGCTTCTCCGCCTCACGGACATACTCCTGGCAGGAGCTGTCCCCCTTGGTGGTGGCCAAGATGACCGGCTTTTTGGTCTTGAGGGCATTGTTAAGCAGGCTGGCCACAAACTCCACCTGCTTCTCAATGGAGCGCTGGGGAACTTTGCTCACGTCGAAGCAGCACAGGAACCCGTCGATGGTCAGTTTCCCCTCTGGCATGAGCACTTGTGGGTAGGCACTGTCTGTCTCCATGCCTGCACCATAAAACAATATAGGTGAGGCATCGTGATGAAATTAGACACTTGTCAAAATAATTAAATCGAAAAAACTGGCCTTTTTCCTTCAGTTCAGCAATTTTTTTATTGAATTTTTGTTTTTTGGCTCAACACTTTTTATGTCTATTAAAAGACATTTCGGTGTGGATTTTACAGATATGCTTTGATTAAAGGCACAAAAAATACACATTTTCAGTTTCCAAGGACTCTCAAACTTTGGAAGTCATCAAGCTTTCGTAGCCATTTTCTCGATAATACTACCTCTGACACTAAGGGACCACCACCTCTTACAAAAGCAAATATCTCGACTTCTATTCAAGATAGACGCGTATTTTTTTTCCCAACCGAAACAAAACAAATAAAGAAGCTTTAAGATGAAAACAATAACATCATCTGCCCAATAATTGACCAGCACTTGATTTAATCACATAGTGACACATTTATTTATAAAAGTAGGTTTTTACACCCCATCAACATATTTTAGATCATTTAGGAGGCCAGCTTTGACCACGCCTGTCAGAGCAAACTAAGCAGAGAGGGATAAAACATCCTAGCAAAAAGACGGAGTTACTCAGTAAAACTTCTCTCCAACACGAGAATCAATCTATGGTCTTCTGCGTGTGTTGGTGGAGCACAAAACTGCTACATACTGCATGCACAGACACTGATGTGGACTAAAGAAAACTTGAATCAGGTAAGTGTCAACCGAGAGGAAGGCAGTAAGAGATGTACATGAGCAAGTAACATATCCTTACCTAACTGATCTTTACAGATGTACATGAGCTTCTCCGCACTCTGGACCTTCCCGCCGACCGCCCGTTTCAGGTAAGTCTCTGTACGGGCCGTCTTGAAGGGAGAGAAGCTCACGTCATCGATGAACTCTGTCTGCTCAATCTGAGGGAGGAAATAACATTGTTTATTTTACTGTTCAATACAAAAGGCTCGCTTCACTGAGGGGGCTAAAGCAAACTTGGACCCCCTCCGTCTAAGACCGACTTGACCTAGTAAGCAAATGCAGGGTCACCGCGGGGGTCACAGCAGGAATGATGCTCTGTCTTACAGGAACAGGAAGCAGGTTTGGTGCTGTGACACTTTACTTTAAACATTGAGTGTATAATATATTAATTTAATATATGGCTATAAAAGTGAAGTATACTTTCCTTTTACTAATAAGGCCCACCTTCACAAAATCAATTATCGGTTCACTTTGCCTGGAAGTGATTTGAAGGACAGTACATTATATAACATAAGGAAAAAACTAGTAGAAGAATCGCACACCAGAGCATACTCCAGCCACCCGAAAGGGACTGTTGCTTCTAAACAATAAAAATGTATATTATGGAAAACAAAATATGTTTGTCACTATCCAAATAGCATAGACAGGTCATGTGATATCCATCAGCCAAAAATTCAAATCTAGTCTGCCACATGTAACAAGACATTGTTCCTCGAGGGAGGGAGGGAGGGAGGGAG